GATGATGATGATGATGATGATGATGATGATGATGATGATGATGATGATGATGATGATGATGATGATGATGATGATGATGATGATGATGATGATACAGTATGTTCCGAACGATATTTGCTTCCTGTTGTTACCGTTGAATCTTAGCTAGCTCAACGTCGACGAAAGCAGGCACGTCTTTTTGTGCAGAAGAATGAAGGGTACTTTAGTGTGACGGCGTTGCAGTGAAGTTTTGCATGGCATTTGCCATATGCAATATATGAGCATCCGTCATCCGTGGCTCTCCTTTGCAAATCTCTTCAAATCCTGCAATGATGATACATACACTCCCCACTGGGAAGTGATTGGCATACTTAGTCACAACTTCCGGTGCTTCCTCCGACAGACTGGGCCGGTTCGGCGATAGGCGCTGCTCGCCAGCCACAAGTGGGAGTTGAGGTGCTGAGCTCCCACAGCGGGTGACTGACACGATCGGACCCGGTTGATATGTCATCTCGCTAGGGTCAGCTCTGGGCGATTTTGTGCTGCCCTAAGGATCCGTGGACCCTCCTTAGAAGGGATCGAACCCTCTAGAACTAGGGTTTGTACCCTCAAAACCATGGTTTTTGAGGGTGCGGATCCTATCCGGGTGGAAGAGGAGTTGAAGACATGGGATTTAGGAGTCACCTCTTGGGGCTTCTCGTCCCAGCCGGCCGTGGAGATTGGGCACCCCTATCCTCCAAGTTCAGCACCCCTTTGTGACTCCTGGAGGTTGTGTTTGGTTGGCGGACCTTTCAATCACGCATAGCTCGCTCTGCGTGTGCAGACGAGGATTCCGATTCAAGCAGCTGTCCGTCGTGCGATGTCGACGGAGCTGTGTCCGTCGCACGCTGTGTCCGTTGACGGAGAAGCACCCATCAATTGTCAAATTGTTTGCTACACTTCCAGAAATCTGCCCTTCAAAACGAAGCTTGGATGGCATCTTTGTTGCGCCAAGACAAGGCTACTTGGACCATTGACTGTAATGGGTGACCTGTTTGGAGATCCCTGATAGTGGGCTGGGTAGTCCAGGTCCCAAGTCATCATCTTTCTTCCCTTCGTTTCCCTCAACGCCAAGCTCCACCGAGCTTCACCGAGGAAGCTCGCTCGGTGGACCTTGGGTGCTGCAGTCGTGTAGCGTTTCCAGGTCCCCCAGGAGCCCTTTCCAACCACCGCCATGCCGAAATGGGTGGACTCGGTGTGTCCGAAATAGGTCTCGCTTGCGACCTGCTGTCCGAAATAGGTCTCACTACTCTCTGTGTCCATCAACCCGAAGAGGTTGAACTATTCTCCAACTACTCGTTTCGACTCTCCAATCCCGTTATCGGATAGGCTCTGCCGACCTCGCGTGGTTTTGGTTCTTTTTCTGATCCTCAGAGTCCAGAACTCTATCACATACACTGCCAGGGACCTCGCTCGGTGGTTTTGGCCGGTAACCTGCCCGCCTTTCTCGTAGCCTTTGGCTTCTTGGCTTCACTCGTCCCTGTTTTCAGACGGTGCCAAGCGGCGACCTAAGGCGCAGCGGACAAATTGCCACCCGCAGATGTTCCATGGCCTACAATGGCCTACATGACTGGTGGTTTTGGGTGGTGAATGTGTGCCATATTACACTTAAGAAAGGAATGATGCCACTGCTTACTCCGTTAATTCATGTCAATCAACAGAAGTGTCCAAAAGCTGACTTCAAGCTGGATTTGGTGACTCACAAAAACCAGCGATTCGCTCAAGACTCCAAATGGCCCCTTCACCCCCCTTACTGTACTGAGGCTTGTTAGGTCCCAAAAAAAACAGGTCTCACTTGACCGGTGAAGTCGGGTTTACGTTCGACGTTTGCTCGAAACGACGAACGGTCGCGACGAAGGTCAGGGCATCGCCCAGATGTTGAAAAAGATCACGGCGACATGCAGTGACCATTAGTGACCCTTTGAAACTGGGTCGGACTCCTGGACTGGTCGAAAAGGGTGTGCCTTTGGATTGCGAAATCGGTGACGTTCCACTTGAAAAAGCGGCCAGTCATACCATTTTGAGGAGCTACGAACTGGAGCCGGCAGGGGTGGTTGTTTTTTCCAGCGAGAACTCTTTCAACATGACGCAGGTCATGTGGCGTGCAATGTTCCTCCTGTTGCTCACGGCGCGCGTGGAGGCGGGCGCACCCGAGTGCCCCTGTCGCTTGGACGCAACCGACGGGTGGTTCACCCGACCGGTGAACGTCTGGCGGCGGCGAACACCGCGCATCCGAAGGGTCTGGTGGGTCGCGCCACGGGTTCCGAAGTATATGGTATACCCAGACGCTCCATGTATGGTATATATGCCGATCAGTTGGGGTGGTTTGAGGGGTCAATGTAGGCATATATGGCATACATGGAGCGTCTGGGATGAGTACCAGCATCATTCAGCATCCTCCAACAGGTCTCCGAAATGGAGGGTTGGGAAGGGACCCAACAGGTCTCAATTGGTGACCTGTGAAGGAGGATGCTGGTAGTCAGGGTGTGTTGGACACACGTCGATGGGCCACTTTTGGAGGATTCCTGGTCTGTACCCCAGAAGCATGAAGACCACGCCACACACAACATCTGGGGGCGAAGTTTGCTCCAAGTTCCACACCCATCTTTGGAACCGACACCAGTTGACGTCATGAGACCACCGCAATGGGCACCTGGCCACCGACCAGCCAACGGGCTGAGCCGACGCCGCGACGGTCGGGCGGAGCCTCAAGGTATCGACAGCAGCCATTCAGACTACGCCGCCATTTCGCCGCGCGGTCGCAGAATTCTGCCAGCCGAAGCCGATCGATCGGGAAGAAGCTGACTCAGCTCTGACAATCGGCACGTCCGAAGTTCAAGTCGTCATGTCCTTGTTCAACTAAGCAATTTCCTGTGTATTCAACCATATTCTGTTTCTCTGACCACAGAATTCAGGGTCGCAGGCGCCGGAACGGTTCTGGTCCGACGTCCGGACTTCGCGACGCCGAGGGCGGTCGTGCAGAGTTGGGGCATGGCAGCGGATTATGGACTCGGTGCCTGCGCTGCCCATGATTCCAACAACACCTTGTGCCCTTTTCGATCGACGTTGCCACGCGGGGCTGACAGGGCGGAAGCAGCGGTCGAACGAACCGGGTTCGGTGGGATGCGACTGGAGCAGGGCCTGACAGGGCGAATCACCACCGGTCTGCGCCGGATGGCTTCTGTGACCCTTGGAATGAATCAGAATGACACAAACACGACTGAGGCCTTGTTTTTTCCCACCACCCCTGGCTGTTTCTCGGCAAACGTGGCAGTCTCCCAGATGGTCGTGTGGCTACGCCGCCTCACGAGGCTTCACAAAAACATGCGACCGAACCTTTGGGAGCCTGAGATAGCGTCGGATCCAGATTGATCCAGCTTCGCCGGTGCAACTGATCTCTGGAAGAGGTGCACTGGTGGGCCCACCCTGAGATTCTGGATTCTGAATCCATCTCTACAACTTGCAGGTGAAAAAGAGATGACCCTTCCCAAACTGCTGCTTGTAGAAAACAGCTGCTTGTTGCATATCTCGTCATGAACCGATTTCGGATGCTGCACCAAAAGATATCAGCTCATCGGATCTCGGAACCTGAGTTCCACCTCAGGTGTTCCGTCAGGTACCCTCACCTCAGCTGCTACAGCAAATCTCCGATCCCCGAAGCCAGCAAAACCTTTAGACACTCGAAGATCGAGAGGTATGACTGTACAATGAACGCCCATCCCTATTGCACTGCGCCCTGGTGCTATGTGCCTTGGTTTTTTACATTAGCAAGAGCAGGGAGTGGCAGCGGAAGACCTGACAACTGTTGGTGTCCCACCGAAAGCTTCCCTGGGACCATCGAAAGCATGGGTTGAAAAAGTCATAAAACCTGGTTTTGTAGTGTAAAGTCCATGCAATTAGTGGTGGGCCAGGAACCCCAGGGTATACAATGATACCCAGACCATCCATGGGACTCGAAGGTAGTTTGGAAGGTATGCCTCCCCAGAAAGACCCCTTTTTCTCAACCACCCCTGGCCTAAAAACGCGGTGGCAGTCCGATCTAAGAGTGGACAGAAGTACCAAAATCAGTGATGAACATCTCCAAACTTAGATCTGGTTTCAACTTTTGTGAAGATCGGTGAAACCATGGAAAAGTCATCAAAAGTCATTGGATCTCGGCAGACACATGATACACAAAACTCCTCCGGGCGTCACGGCATGTGTGTTGTATTGTGTTGTCTTTGTTTTCTTTTTTTCCGGTTTGGCAAGGTGGATTTCAATTTGAGACCATTCAACCCCACTCATTCCATGGGTTTGCCTTTATATACTTTGGGGTGATATGGGGTGGCTCTAGGGGGTCGATCAAAGGTAAAAAATGCTCACCCTGGACCCTCCCCAATGATCTACCTTTTCCAGCTGTTCGGCTCACTTATGTCATTGATTTTCTTTGATTCACCATACCTCATGTGCTATGCAGTTGTCACATCGCATATGTGCAGCTTTCATGTTCGGGTTCAGCAGGTATACATGCGATTCATGCAGCGGGTCAGACCTAGCTGTCTTGACCTGATGTATCCATCAGTCGAGCCACAGAGTCTGATGTATATCAAAGGGGGTCGGAAGCCGGGAAGGGAAGCACGGATCTATATATGGATCTTCCATTTCGGTGTTCACCTGAAACGCGCAGCGGAAAGAAAGGTCTTCAAGTCCAATGATGCGAGAAACACAGGTGTCTGAATCTCATTCTCCATCCTCGCAGCGGTTGTGGAACAAGACCTGCACCTACCTTCGCTTGGTGCCGAGAGCAGGGCGGAACCCATTTGAGTCAAAAGGAATGTAGTGAGCGGAAAATCATTCGAAACAAACACGTCTACTGTAATAAAGGCGCACGAATGATAATCAAACGGAATGCAGAGGGAAGTCAAGAGCGAGCTCCACAAGAACCGTATGAAAAACAAAACGCGTAGACATTATTGCCGGGGATGCTTTTATTAAAGCCAACAAGGGCAAATATTATAGGGGGCTTTATTGACTGTATTATTCAAGACTTCCAGTTTACTCGGCTACCCACTTTGTGGACAGTAATTTGACAAGATTCAGCAAAGAGAGCTACAAGCAAATAAATATATACAGTAAAGCAATGTAAAGCACACAACCACAAACACAAACACAATCACAAACACACAAACACAACCACACAACCACAACACACAACCCCAACACAACCATAATCACAAACACACAACCACAACACACAACCACAACACTCAAGCACAACCATACACACAACTACAACAATATAATTGCCGCCTGTTTTGTGTGGCAGTTGGTCACAGGATAGCACTTTTGGATGTCAACTGGAGACCCTGGCGACACCCACACGCGGAACTCCCTAACACTAAAATAACAATCCCAAACCCGAGGACCCACAAGCAAAA